GAGCGGGGTGTTGAGTCGGGCTTGCAAGTAGGGGGGCTATACTTATTCATTCATTTGCTTGCTCCTTTGCATAGCACATATCAGGGGGGGGGCAGTTCCTTGCGGCACGTTGCATCTCACTGTTTATCAAAAGGGGGACTGTGTTTCCATTTAACGGTAAGAAATGCCGTTTATCCTTTGGGGGGCTAAAGCCCCGGGTTAAGCCACCCCTCTGATTCCATCTGCTATCGTCCAAATAGACTATTGTTTGTTTAATCAAAGTCTTAACTTCCTTATCCCGTGTGTAGGATAAACTCACCCGTTAAGTGAGAGAGGGACTCCCTCTTGGATAAGTAGCTACCCGCTACAGGATTCGAACCTGTTCCTTGCTATTAGAAGTAGCTTGCTCTGCCTTTAAGCTAAGCGGGTCTCTTATTAGCTTATGGTCTTCCCTTGAGCCAATTCCATTGCTGAATTCCCATAACACTATATTGCCGGGGGGGGGGCGAGGTGGCGCCCAAGGCCTGCGGGGGATCTACGGATCCCGGCCCGCTTTAGGGCCGGCTCTGGCGGCCGGCAAGAAGAAAACGAAAGAACCAAATTCTCCAAAGAGAAGTAACACCAAAAAGAGGAGGAATAAGACGAAGAGAAGAGGGCTACATTCCAATACGACCCTTCATTGTCGGAGGGCGACAAGACGTTGAAGCTCCGACATAGAAGCCTTACGGATTCGTGTCACGGTAAGGACTGCTCCTTACCGTGAGCATTCGAGTATCGTGTAGAAAGGATGCCATACCGCTCAAGCAAAATCCCTCGGAGTAAACCTACCTCATCAGGGCTAAACGAATCAGTATAGATAGTAACTACAGCGTCACGTTGGGAGTATGACCCATCGGAGGCAAGCCAGTAACCAATAGCAATAGGAGTGAGTAGGTAAGCAAGATTATCCGGTAGAACTTGGATGTTCTTCCCATCGACCTGTTTATACCAGAGCTTGTGTAGACTAGTGAAATGAGGCAGAGGCCGGCCTACGGCCCCCGAATTGGTAAGACTGATGGCTGTCGCTTGTAAAAGTTGAACAATAAGGCGGAGCTCCTACTATTCCAATGGAATTTAACCTTG